TCTAATTTACAATTTACATGTTTATCCCTCGTGTAAAAACAGGGCTTTGGTGGACTATGACCATAAAATCAACTTACATACATTAACTGCCTTTATAGGAGGTACTTGCAGTTATATAACTTGTTATAAAGTAAAATTTAATTCTTGTTTTACTGTTGCATTTCAGTTCATGCCTAGCCAAAAAAACTAGTCCTTTTTGTCATGTTTCCAACTGATTTACGGGATCCATTTATGCAATTTTATGAAATAAATAATTTTGCGGCGCCCTGCACTGACCTATGCAATGATCTTAGATTTTTCAATTGCATCTTAATGAGGCAAGAAGGGTGATTTTTGTGCCCAAATGGAATAAAATCACATGATACAGTCAGAAAAGCAGAAAAATAGTCAGGAAAAACTTTCCCTTTTAACAGGAGGGAAGGGGAATCAATATGGTTTGTTACTTGCTCTGAGCTTCAGAGCCCATTTCACTGAGCAAGGTGTTTACGGTGAACTCAGGATGGAGTTTGCGAAGGCTTCAGCAATCTGCTGGCAGTCAATTTAGCTTAAACTGTTGAATACATTTTGTGGATATAGTTTGCTAATTTATTGTCAAGGAAACCACAGAAAAATTAGATCCTGAAGTGGTGTAATTTAGTGTATCTCCTTTGACATCAATTGAGGTACACAGATTACCTCCCCTCAGGAGAATTCATCCCAGATAAATTTCTCATTGAGTGGTTTTCATAGCAAGGGCCAATGGAAAACTAAAAATAGCGTTGCTGAGGGAATAATTTGTGTTAAAGAAGCATCTAAGATAGTGAATTAAGAGAGTGTCCATTGGTTGTAGTGCTTGTTTGATGTTTAAAGGGAGTGGATTGAGTGGAAGACTTGTGATGATATTGAGGGTGGAAGCCACAGGGAATGGCTTCGCATTTGGATTTTTAGTGCCATCTATTGAGATGTGCCAACTTTAACAGAAGAAAAAAAAAAAAAACACTGATTTTTCATCTATTGTAGGTTTTGGTTTTTAACTTACCAATTTTCATTGCATCCGTTTACTGCTCAGAGTAGTTTCCAGCCTCCTTGCAGCATGGGTCATAGCAGATGGTCCTGCTACATTCACACACTATTGAGAAACGTATAAAAATCACAGTATGGAACCATCGAGTAGCTGGTTTCTCTCCTCTCATTTTAAATATCATAAGAACAAATCTCCAAAGCTGGGCACAGCCCTCCAAATCTCTAGAAACACCTTAGCCACTGGGACAGAAACATGCCATGACATTTTTTTTTGCTTCTCCCCAATATACGCCTTCCAGTAACTATTCTCCACTCCTCCACCAGTTTTTTTTTAACCTTTCTGCAGTGGTTAAGCTGCTCGCAGGCGCTGGTGTCGAGGCAAGTTGGGATGGCATAGTAGTGCAACAAGCACAGCAAAGCTCCACGTGGAGAGGCCTCAATGAGCAAAGCTGAGTGAATAAATTAGTTCTTTAAAATTAATTAACCAAAGCAAAGCTTTAAAGGAACAAAATGATTTGGTGATCAACCCCCAAAAGTGTACTTTCCACTTCAAAGAAAAAATGGTCTGAGGCCAAATGAATCCCTTCTTTGAGAGAAGTAGAGAGGTTTGTTTTGTCTACAGACTTTATACAATTAAATTCTGGCTAATTTCTGAAGAACAAACTTCCAAAGAAAAATCTTGACATTTGTTTTGTTGTGGTATTTTCAACATTTCTACCTTCCTTCCATTTCCTTTTATTTTTTTTCTTTTCTTTTTCATTTGTTTTGCAGTGCTAGAGGGAGATGAGAAAAAGCAACCCCAATTCTTCTCAAAATTTCCTCTAAAAATTCGACCTTTCCAAAAATTATTTGTGACTGCTAATATGCAAAAGAACCTCAAAGCATCTAAATTTTACTTCAGTCTTTCAGAGGCAGAACACAGTATCTCAGACCTTGTTTCTGCTGGTTTCCCAAAAGCGCACATATTTAAAAACCAATGTGTAATTTTCTTAACTTAATATTTTGGCTAATAGATGGTTTGAATAGCACATATTATAATCTCAATGTTACATTTTCCTCTACAAATTGTGGAGTTAACTTAGGGAGTGCATATAATTTATGTAACTTAAATCTGCAAAATATTAAATATCAAGTGTCTATTCAGTTCTAATATTTGCAGTTCACAATTGGTAGTGGGTTAGAAAATGAGTAAATGACTCTTTCAATCAGAGAAAGGAAATAATACTATGTAACTTACCCAACTGTTCGGGCAGTCTATTACTGTACCTCTGCCTTTTGGTTGCCTGCTTGAGCATTCAAGGCCAGATTTCACTTTCTCTTGCATTTGTACCACTACCTAAAGTGGTCTGGAAGTAAAGCTTAACAGACAATTTTAGAAGGGAGGATGCTTGGTTTTGTTTTTTTTTAATTTATCTCCCACTTCATTAGCTGGTGTAATAATTTTCAGCTATAACTTAGCAACATATTTAGAGATAAAGTATGAGTAGCCTAACCTTTGTAGCAGATGGGAATTGATTAATCTGGTTAAATATTGTGATGATTTTTAATCAAAGCAAAGCAATGCAAGACTTTCTTCCAAGGTTCATTTGCCTCCAGCAAGCCTAACCACCGCTTCTGCTGCATCTCTCTAAGATGGAATCCTAACAGAAGAGCTTTTTTTTTTCCTTGGTCAGGTATTTAAAACATCATTTAAATGATTTCAAGTTTCAGCTTTCTGTTTGTGTGTCCCTATAAATGTTTAAAACTGCTCGTGTCACAGAAATTACGTGGCAAGAAAAACAGTGGGGATTACAATGTTTTGCTTTGTTATTTTTTGTCTGTTTGGGTTTTTTGCAAAAGGCAGCCATACCTAAGCAGTCACTCCCCAGATGTTGATACTAGACTCCTCCAAATATGCCTGTTGAGATATCATATATGGATAATGACAAAAAAAACCACTACCCCTGAAGTTTGAATGAAATATTAAGATCATGTTAGATACATCCTTATTTTTCAGCACTCTGGACCCTCTATAAAGCTTGACACCACATGTGCAGTATTCCTCTGTGCTGTGCATGTATCACCACTGCAGTACAGAAGCATTAAATTAATTTTTCCATCTTCCATCCTTCCTTCTTTTCTTAATCTGAAAATTGTGCCAGCAGCATGAAGGGTAAAACACATTCCCTGTGTGTCTTGCAAGACTTGTCCGTTAATCCAAGAGGTAAATTCTCATAATTGCTCATGAATAGCACTTTTCACTATGATTTGTGATACTTTACAAACCATGCCTGCAGAAAGCATCCTGGAAACCACACATTTACCATCGAGGGCCAAAGAGGACAATACCACCGCAGATGATCAGCCAGTGCATGGCAAACACACAGCACTGCAAGAGCTGGGTTAGAAGTCCACCTTCAAATCCCCTCTAAACTTTCTAAGGAAAGCAAATTCATCCCAGAGGACACCAACATTGTATAATTAACTATATGTAATCTAGAACTTCTTATAGATGAACTGCAGCCACCTCTGGGATGGGAAAAGATCAAGTCTTTTAAAAGCATGTTTCCATTAAGTTTGAATAATTTCCTGGACACATCACTGAGTAATTTTTAACCAGACTATTCTGATTCTGTCCAAGCAAAGCTGTCAAGAACAATAAATATCTATTATCTATCTTTGTGGTAGTGAACACTTTAAAAAGATGCGGGGAAGAAAACAATACATATATTTCACAGCTAAGAAATCAAGCCCATCAAACCGACTAATTTCTCTCCCTTGGCTGATACGTGTCTTTCCCAAGTGACAATCAGTTGTCATTTTTTTAACCCATTTTCTTAAGGAAATGAGGCTCCTAAGCTCACATTCTGTCTTTCTTTTGGTCCTCAGCTAATGACTTCTAGAATTCTTAAACTCACCACGAAATTGTGAAATCACCATCTTCTCCATCATCAGAGATATCCAAAACCACACTGGACATGGTCTTGGGCACCTTGCTTTGGACTAAATGACCTCCAGAGGTGCCTTCCAGCCTCCAACATTCTGTGATTCTGCTAGAACTCCTTTTTTTTTCCTCTCTCTCCAATGAAGCTACCAAAATATGTAAAATAAATACTAGGCAAAACAGAAATGAAATTAGACAAATGTCCAAACAGTAAGTACTTCTGAAGAGCTGATAGTATTCAGTAATCACTCTGAGGTCAAAGCACTTTACAAAGGTGCCCTTCCCTAAGACTTCCATTCCAGCAGTCATTTCTTAACACGCAGTGTCCTGCTTCCCAGCGTCATGCCAGTCCCAGGCTATGGGATTTTCAGCTTGAAACGTTGGCTCTCTTTCAGCAAGTAACAAAATTTCTCTGACTGCATTGCGTTGAGCTTTCTCTAAGGCTGCTCACTGTTCTTCTACAGGATGAGTTCATCAAGATGAATGCTAATAAGCAGTTATCTGAGTCTCAAAGGATTCAGATAAAAACGCTTTAACACAGAAGCTAATTTTTGCGTGTATTCCATCCCTTTGAGGAGGGTGTCAGAACAGCCTTCCTGCTTGCAGGAAGGCAGAGACAAATTGATAGAAAGGATTTACACACCTAAAACACAGGCTCTGCATAACTTTTGTGCATTTGGTCCCCAGAACTGGATCCAGCATCCAAGTGTAGTCACTACATTCATAGAAATCAGGCTTCAGGGGTTCTGGCTCCTCAGTCTATAGCCCACAGCCTTGCTCTGAAGAGAGGAAGATGTGAGCTCTGGCCCCTGTACCAATGGTATTTATTTTAACTAACAGAATTTCTATATAAAAATATGCAAACATTTCTTGAAATAGTGACTGGCACTTAGGTTTCCTCCTTCCAACTGACTGTCCCAACCTCGAGACCGTCATATTCTACATGCGGCTGGATAACACTGGCCTGTTTCTGCAGAGCGGCAAGGGGAAGAGGTGGGAGCGATGGAAACGAATCACAACTGTTTCCTAAATTTCATTCCCTGAAATGTCTGTTTTGCACAGCGCACCCGCACGGCTATGGTACAATCAGTGCCTCTAAACGAGGAGTTGCGAGAGCCAGAGGAGCGCCCGTCAGCGCGGCACACGGCAGGCAGGCAGCGCGTGGCTCTTCCGTCAGGCAGCAGCCAGAGCTGGGCTTTAGCTCGGAGAGCAGAGTCATCGCAGCCAGGCTGTCCTTTCGCAGGGCAAGTTCAGTAAATCCATAATCAAAAGGATTTGGGTTGGTTTTAATTTTCTTAATCAGCTTAATTCCTGACAACAAAGTGAGACATCAGATTGTTTTAAATGGCAGGATTCCAAACAACAAACTTCAATTTAAGCATTAATGACAGCAACTTGGGATATTATCTCAGAATTATTTACTGGCTGAGAAAAGTTCCTGTTTTGAAATTGAGTCGAGTAAATTTCTGTTTATAATTACATCATTTCAGGCCAAGTCCTATAGAGCTTGTTCAGGAGAGTCTTGGTATAAATACACTCATCAGTATTTGATCTTTATAGCCAATAACCTCTGGGGTTATTTTCTTTTTTTAGTTCAATGCTCATGAGCAAACGACATCACCACGGCATACATCACTAGTTCTTTATCCTTCTGCAAGCAAAACAGTGTCAGTTATTTATGTTTCAAAACACACTGCAGCATTTTTAAATTGCATCCAGAGACTTAAAATCTGCATCTGAAACCTTTTGTTTCCAACATCTTATTCGTAAAATGAGCTTAAAGCAATATTTACCTACTTTGTAGTTTTCTGTTGTTTAATTACTGCAGACTGTCCTTGACTAAAATATTCTTAATTGGCAAAATTCATCCCTGGGTAAACAGGCGGCAAGTGTAAGGCTTAAGCACATTTAGCAATCCCTGCGATCATTTCAGTGTATACCCAAGAAAGCACAGTCTGCTTCTTAGACATATCATGTCAGCTGCACTAATATACTGTGACCTGAAGTGCTCAAGTTAATGCTAAATAAAATCTTATTTGCACGAAGTATTCATACCTGAATGAGTCCGAGTTAGAGTCTTCATTAAAAGGTTCTCCCTTTCTCTGTTACTCTGGGAATAATACAGACGTTCAACTTTTGGTACATTCTACTTGGGTAGTGAGCAGCAACAGTGAAAAAAAATGAACATTTGCATTTACTTGGGTGACAAAATTTAATAGTTGAGCATTTTGGCAGTCTGAAAATGTCTTTCAAATCAGGGAATGAACTCTTGATTCTATGAATATCCACAGCAAAACTTGTGTGAGTGATGCAGGGAAGGATCCCACCAAGAGCTTTTTGAGTCCCTGTTTGAGTCAGAGCACCTCAGCGCTTCACCAAAGCAGCCCTCAGTTTGAATTTCTTTAATACATTCTTCTTTAAGGTGAGCAGCTTGAAATTTATTTGTGGTTCTTCTGAGTCATCATTAGCAGCAACTTCTTACAGATAGGAGTGAGAATTTTCTAAGAACACTTTCAGGTTTTAGTTGTTGTACAGTGAGTGCCCAACAGGTTCCCTTTTAGAGACCCCATGTTTTTATTCACTTTGTCTAACACAATTTCTTTCTTCTCCTGCAATTGGTATTTGTATTTGAAAAGCATTAATTCAAACTAGGAGACCGGCATACATAAATTACTTCAAAGCTTTTATACTTAGAACACCTTCCAAGTGACAATGATTTTTATTTTTGCTTTACTGTTCATTTATACAAATTAGCAGGCGCATGCTGCCTGTTGCCTGGGCGTCTGGCAGTTCAAATAGGAAAGCAAAAAAGAAAAGGAAAATTGGAAAGCAAAGTTCAGCCACTGTCCTAGTATGTATTTGTCTGGTTATGGAAGTTAAATTTTTTCCACTGAGTTTAGTGTTGGATAATCTCAGCTCTTGACATTTTTGGTTTGAGGTAACTCAAAATTTCTGCCTCTGGGGAAGATACTTGTATTTCAGACTGTGAAATCACGGAAAACCCTTGTGAGTGCTGGTACACATGTAACACTGGCCCCTCTGGGAGCTCAAGTCAATGCTGTGATCTGTGGCTATATGAACTCCGTTTCTTACAGCGTTTCTCGGGGCAGATTTGAATACACAGAGACACCGGGCAGGCACATGAGGTCAGAGATTTCTGTGGGGAGCTCCAATCCCGGAGCACAGGACTTCTCTCAGTCACACTTTTGCTGGAAAAAAACTAATGGTTAATATGAGATCAAGAAATTGTCTTTCCTGTTCTTGCTGAAGTACTGCACATACTACCAGTAGCATGCATTTTAAGGAGAGAAACTTTCAAAAGAGATCTCTATTTCCTTCTGGAGCAAACAGTTCTTACAGAGCTGAGCTATCCTGAAAGAAAAATCAGTGCAGCATTTGACCCACAGCCTTACTTCACACAACTGAATATTGAGACAAATTTAACTGAGCAGAACTACATATATAACATCATCATTAAGCTTTCATATTTCATAATATACCAAATGTCAGCTTTGTGGGTTTTGTAGGGAGACAAATAACCCAGATGTAACAATACTACAGTTCTTGCAGGTTGCTACTAGTTGGAGTGCTCCCAATTGTATTAGTTTCCGCAAACAGAAGCCTCACTCGACACTTTGATTTTTATGACTACAGGTTTGCAGGATAAAACTGTCAGCTGCTAAGGAAGAATTCCACAGACATTATCCACACAGAGACTTAGAGCTTGTCTATATAATTCCAAATAAATGTAGAGGCATAGCAACTATTATTCTTTATACCACTAAAACTTAGTAATAGAGCTGACTGTAAAAGACTTGAAAAACCCAGTCTTATGCAAAATAACACTTGGGAAAAAAGAATGAGGTAGGCAACAATTACGTATAAATCAGGAGGTCTCTGAAACTCACAGGCACTGAAGAAATAGCTTGTTTGAGAAAATTGAAACATGTCTCCTCAGTAAGCTCCCACTCCATAGGAAAGCTTTGTGCTCTCTGAAGGGGCTAGAACTTCTTGCCAAGAAGGTATTTGGACATTAATTTTTTAAATTAATGCTCCAGGATATTCACACAAAGACACAGATATCGACTACTGTGTAGAATATATTTTTAATTGGAAGAGGCCATGCCAGCTGAGCTATAAAACAAGTACAAGCTGTTAGATATAATAATAGAGAGAAAAGACTAGGGAAAAAAAGTGAGTCATGGAAAAAAAAAAAAAAACAGTAAAAACTATTTAGTTAAAAGAGACTTCCCAGGACTCCTGAGCTAAGGTAATGGTAGAAAAACATGAAACTTATCATGACCATCACGAATGCTGTTCAGGGATGCAGGGATCTTGATACCATGGAAATGGCACTTGTATTCAGGATTATCTTACATGATTCACATATAAATGAAGATAGTTCAGATTTTGGAGCAGTAACAACACACATAAAAAACTGCAAGTGTTGTTTACAGCACACGTACATGTGCTGTATAGGGCATTGTGGTATAGAGATGCAAGAAATTAAAAAGGAATTTAATTTTCCTCTTTCCATCAGAAGAGTGCTGTAAGCTGTAGCTGCTGATACATAGATGGATGCTACTGACTTCAGTGTCAACCAGATGTCACTGCTCTGGTGCTGACTCGAGGCAAATATAGCCAATATGTTTTCCATAAAATTAAATCACTTTATTTGCTTCTGTCAATAATTTTCTGTAAAATAAGTATCAGGGGTACCAATTTTGCTAGGGTGTTTTGGGTTTTTTTTTTATTCCCTTTGCCTCTGAGAAACATGACTGCATGTTCTGTACTGGAAGCATAGTCCTGACAAGACTGTTGAGAAGCCAAAATGATGCACTTTGTTAGTGCAGACATGCAAGAGCTTGTGGGTGGCAGCGACAATGGCGGTACAAAGCTGAGGGGACACACTGGGCACTTTGCTGCTGCTTCAGTGCAGATCTCTAGTTCAGGCATCCTCTACCTCACGCAAGACAGTTTCTATATATGATAGGTAGGTGCCACGAAGATGATATTAAGCATATAAAATACATAGTCTGTTGCACCTCTTCCTCAAAGATCTTTTTAGACACCCTCTAAGATGAGGGGTGGATTTAAGGCAGAGAAGTGAAGCAGTGAAGCCCATTGGCATTCACAGCTGGTGCCAGGTTTGCTTCTCACAAAGCTGGAAGAGCAGTTGCTTCTTTGCTCATCATCTTTGCTCAACACCCGAGACGGTTCCCTGAGTTATTGCTCACGGGCCAGGAATGAGGCGCTGCCTGCTCAGCACACCTTTTGGCCAGGGCACCCCTTTACAAGGAGGATTATAAGGATTTGAATCCTTCAGGGAAGGATTCCACTTCCTCAGTGATTCCTCAATATAGAGGTGGGCACTGGCATTTCAAAAGAGCACTTGCCATCCCTGCTCGCTTCTTTGGAACAGAAGTTGTGCGCACCTGCCCTCAGGAGCAGTCTTGGCTTCCAAACGGGAGCACCCGTGGAGCTGCACCCCCTTCCCTCAGCAGATTCACCACGGGTGATGTGAAATGAAGCCCTTGCCTCTGGTGACAGGCACATTAGCTGCAGGAACACTTTTCTGCCTCCTCACATAGGGGGGTGCTGCCGGTCACGGCACATCAGGAGCTGTAAGCCCCCAGGAGCTGCAGCCTGCCATGCCCTTTAAAGTACTGAGGCCAAGACAAGAAAAAAATCTTGGGCTTCTTTTATCTCCACTTTCCAGACAGTGCCCAAGTGCCTCTGTGTTCCTGGTGATTGTCCTTCACCATCCAGCACGACCAGCACTAACACTGGGTACTGCAGCAGCTGGCTGGTGGGTGCCCGGGTTCCTTACTGGACCCTTCTCTGCGTACCTAGATGATCAGCGGTGTCACCTCTAGAACAGCAAATGAAATGCTGGATATAGAGAAATTTTATATGCCAGCTGAGAGAGGGTTGTGATAACGTAATTTTTGGATGTAAGTGCATCTAAGCCTTTCGGATGGTTAGCCCCAACTCCTTCTAGCACTGAAGTCAGGGAGAGCGTTCAGCATTTCTGTCAAAGCCCAAACACTGTGAGATCTGAGCAGTCACACCTAAAATAAGTCAGGTAATACACTTTTTCCTCAAACAGCACTGTTTGCAAAACTGGTAGAGAAAACACAAAATTCTATCAATGACCTTTCAGAACTATTTTCTGTTTTCAATATTAAACACATCCATTTTGCCTTTGCATTTTATAGGCCTCCTTTTCATCTCATATATTTGAGCTGCAGATAATTATTCTAATTAAAAATATGTAAAAGCCAACAAATGCAACAGAAGTATTTTCTCTTTTGACAACCATGGATAATTACCTCCAGTATCCATTACTTAGATGCTTCATGACACATTTTTATTTTGCTTCTCTGATATTTTTCTTTTCCTGCCAATGTAAATCTCACATGTCGATTGAATTCTATAGTATTTTACCTGAATACATTACATTAGCCATAAAAAGCACTACTTTATTGTACTCCTTTTAGGGAAAAAAAAAAAAACAACACCCAGCTAGATGCTTTCTCCACTACATACTAAGGCTGCAATGCTTTAATAGCAGAAGGATAAACAAGACTTTTTGCTAAATATTGTCCTCTGTGGGTAACAGTTCCCTATTTCATTATAAAACTTGTAAAGTATTATTTAAAAAACTACAACAAAAATAATTAAAAATTAGATCACCATACAGAAATGTATTCATTGAAAGTAATAGTTAAATCTCAGTCAGAAGACTGGATATGAAAGAAAAAGATTAAAAAGAGAAATTAAAAAGTGTCAGAAGTGTCTCCTTTCTAAACGTACAGACACCTCAAGGTACAAAAGCACATACATCAGAAAAAGTGCAGGACGAAAAAAAGTGATCTGTGATCCTACAGGTCAAATACCACTTACAAATTACATATTATAAATTGAATATCTCTTAAAATCCAGGTACACAGCTGTACAGACTATATACCATCTGTGTGCTACTTATTAGTAGGAAACATTCAAACGAATCAATTTAAACATTGCTTCCTGGGTTCCTTTTTCCCTCACCTCTTTTATAAGATTTGTGTTGTCCTTATGGCATGACTTCAGCACAGGCCTTCCTAAACTCACTAATGAAGAAAGATATCCATCCAAATAGTTCCTGAGAGTCTAGGTCTTGAGGCTCCCCAAATTTTACCTGTAAATTTGAAAGAGAAGAATATTTAACGTTAGTATATCAGAGTAATCTAAACCACGTCCAGGATCTTAATGAAATCAAAAGAGCAAGAGAAAAGTTAAATACCAATAATAATAATTTAAAAAAAAACCTTCGAGCTGGCTAAAATCTCCAGAAAGCTGAGATCCAAAACATCCCAAGCAAAAGTGGCCCCAGGAGTTGCCACTGAATTACCTCAGTAGTCTGGGTTTCTGTAAAATGCAGTCTCTCTGGCTGGACTAGAGATCTCCAGCTGAAGAGGAGAAAAATCAGTAAATCACGAAGCTTCCTGGCTCTGCAGTTTCTTAGAGGAACCCGTTCATAAAAGAAAAGGCATATATTAGGGAAACGTTCTATACTCCATGGTGGGCATGGTAGCAGCATGTTCAAGCCAAAAAGTTTTCCTTTTTTGACATTTTGCTTTGTATACAAACAAAAATATTCATAGGGAAGCAGACATTTTTGGAAGAAAAAATAATTTATCAAAGAACCACCTTTCCCTGTTCTCTTCTTTCCTCCACCTGAAAAAGGTGAACAGATGGAAAGTTTTTGAAAAAGACGTGCACAGTATTGGCAGCATGTCTGCTCTGCTATAAAAAAAGAGGTGAAAGGCAGTCATACTACAAAGTTCCTAGGAGAGGGCTTCCTGCATTAACTAACATCAGTTCCACATAGGTCCTCCAGATCTAGGATAGGAAAGGATTTTTGATGTTAAATCTTTTGCTAAGGTTTAATTCGAGAGGTTTGTCATCATTTTCAAAGATTCCTCCTTAATGGGATCAGTGAGTTAAAGAACATAACGCTGCCTGCAATGGCTTTCTAATTGAGCAGTACAAATCTAGAGAACATGCTCCAAAGGCTTCATCAGAAAGTTAAAAAGACCTCTTGTGTTGCTACAAGTTCTTATCTCGGCTGTAATTGAGAGCTACTCTGTAACTGGGGGACACAGCGCTCCCAGGGCTGAACAGCAATATAGTTGTATTTCAGGATTTTGGATTGCAACTCAAATATATGGAAAGGTTTGGACAGGTATCTGTCATTATCTAAACATGTTCACCTGGACATCATCTAACATGTTCTTAGGAGCAAACTCTCTACCTGGAAATCAGAAACACAATAAAAGAAACCACTCACATATAATCCAGTTACAAAAACTTTAACATTAACCAATGACACCTGATTAATAGTTTTGCCTGTTGTGTTCCTAATTGCACCTCCTGGGTGCTCCAAGCCCTTGATCTTTGGCATGCCTCGCCACTCACCCATGGTGTACCATCAGTTAAACCGTAATGAGAGAGGCATTTCCTGGAGCTAATGACCATCTGTGAGAAGTTGATAGCCCACAGCTATACCACAGGCAGTTATCCCCAATTTATTGTTCATTCCATACAAGTGTCACATGCCAAGGTCGTTATTGATTTTATAAGCAGAATATAAAATCATAAAGGTAGGCCTGTGGATTTTCGTTTTATGTGCAACATGATTTCCATGGCTACCTACACCTTTCCAGATCAGATATTCCCCCAGGTAAGCTGGACTACTCCTTCCTAGTGCTGTTGAGATGATAGCCTGGTCTTTGATCACCCATCCATATTTGCTTTACATTTTTGCTTCTTTATAAATATGCAAAAAGATCTGCCTAGCAATAACATTATTCAGAAGAAAAAATCCATTCTAAGTGAGAGAAATATTTCAAATGCCTAACTTTAGAGAATAACGGGGAAGGGAGAGCAAAAAACAGCTGGGTTAAAACTTGAGGAAACTTCCAGCTACATGGAAAATGAAATCCTCTTCAGATGCAAATAAGAGTCTCAGATGAGAGTTTCCAGTACAAGGAAGGAAAGCAGAGCCTCACACATACATCTGTAGCACAGCACCATGCGTGCAATGCCTCCTGGCTGAATGTAGGCAGCTGGAGAGAAGCAATGTCCCTGCAGAAGGATTACGGCAGAGCATGCATATGCAGGAGGGACATCCAGCACCCACTGGGCATGACACAGCTCCGCAAGCAGGACCAGCCACACGACACTAACTCCTTCTGAAGGTGACTTCTAGGTAAAATGGGTCAAAGTCTTCCACACGCCATGCGAGAAGTGTCCCTCAAAGGTTTTACACAGCAGAAGTCCCCCCACTTTTGGAATTTGATAAATCCTTTTCAACCATTTCCACTCACGTAGCTCAATTGTCAGTTCCCTCATTTACACTACTTTTCCACCTTTTTTTTCTTCTTGCTTTATCCCAGTCCTTCAACCTTTTTTGTAGACTTAGGACTGAGTTCTTTGTCTAATTCTTTTGCTACCATACAAATTTGGCTTGTTACCCTACACCAAAATCATTTTTCCCATTTGTGAAAGACTACAAAAGACACAAAGATACCCTTACACATTCTTACAATGTCAATTTTAGTAAAACATTACTAATTACACTTCCTGGATCAAATGTCTCACTAATCTTCAATGTCTATTCAGATAGGTCCCCAAAGGTCTTCCAGCTGCATCTTCTGCCTACGATTCATAAACCTTCTCTACTTCTAATCCCTCCCCCTCATAAAAAAGGGAAAAAAACCCCAAACCCACCAACCAAACAAAAAAACACACCACCACCACTTAAAACTGTGTCCTAATCCCAGGACCAGGAAATTATTAGAGATTAGCACTGTGTTTCAGCAAATCTGTCCCTTTCTTTAAAACCTCCTAGTGTGACCATTCTGCCAGAGAAGACTGTTGCCATAGCAGAGACCTCCTGAATTTCCATCACGCTCCAAGAACATTGTACTAAACAAGGAATCTACATGCCATGTTGTTAAAAATTGCCGCATGGAGCTTTTATCATTCCTTCTGGTGTGACCCTCTGACCCAAAAAACATTTTCTAGTGTATTGGACCTAGATGGGTTGCTTCTGTTCAGAGGAAAAGATGATGGGGAAAATTAGGTGCTTCTCCGGTGCAAGTGTGGGTGAATATAATAGGAACAAACAAGAACAGACAGTTTCTTTATCAGAAATCTTCTGCCTGTGGAGCTTCCTTTCTGCTCTGCTCATTTTTAGATCTGTGCTACTACTAACATCTCTATCCTCATTTCTCTCACATCCGAATAACAGGAGCTAAATCAATGCCATGGACTATAAGGTTGTCACTAGAAAAAACCCTCAGCCCAAGTAACAGAAGATTTGCAGCTGCCTACCAGCCAAAGACACGACTGCTGATAGGCACCAGAGCATGTTGCTTTCCGTAATGTGTTTTCTATAACATGTTGAAAACGTTCAACAGTTAAACTCAATGAATTTATAAAGTTGGTGAACATCTACTTTTCTTTTTGATACTTTGGCCATAAACCCTCTTAAACGTGGGCTGTAAGTCCTTAAGAAAAATAAAAGCCAGATTTTTATTCAAAATATTCCACTGCTGTTAGATGTGATTATTTTTTTTCTATTTCTGTGGAGAGTATAATTATTAAGCATGTGAAAGTATGGGAACTTCTTGCACTTCTTCCTTCCCTTTTTTCTTTTTTTTTTTAACATAGATTTCTTTTCATTGCATTTTAATGTGATATGTACCAGTATGTTGCTATAAAGCTTCTTCATTTCATCACATCTTTTTGACAGCTGGGATAGATCCCCTTCATATTTCTGAATTAAATCCTGTAATAAAATAAAACTTCTTAATATGGTATAGGAGCATAATATTAAAGCAGAAATTAAACAGCAGTGAAAACAAGATGATTCAAGTCAAAATTTTCATGTCACAAAAATTTCACATTTCACAAAAGATAAGCGTACATCAAGCGCACACATTTCCTTGCAAGTATTAAGACATCAAAGACAAAAAAAAAATCAGTGTTAGAGAATTTTTTACTGTATCATCCAGTGACAAATCTATTAAAATCAACAGAACTAGATAAGGATCATTTGGCATAGCCTAGCTTTTTTGCACATGAAGTAAACACTCCCAGTTGCTATTTCTTAAGGAGAAAGAAATAAGGCCTTAGAAACTTAACTTTTGAAACAAAATTTCTTAAGCGCAGTTCCTTTGTAACGTATACATTTATACATATGTATCTACACATACAAGACAACTTAATATATATTGAAGGAGCATAGCATTGAGCTGTTCCAAGGGGGAAGGAAACATATGGGTTTAGCCGACACTACCTAGCGAAGCACAGCACAAAGATATCCAGGACAGCAGAGATGAACATGTCCACACCACGGCAGTGAGGACTGCCCTCGCTGGAAGTAGCCCCATTCATAACTAGCACAACAGTGCTCGTGAGAGTTTAAGTTTTTGCCCCTGAGCTTCGTGTTTGGCTCTGCTGACTCCTGGCCAGAACTGGGCTGCCTCCAGCCTGCTCAGCCACCTCTCCATTGTCACCTCCAGCCCATCATGGCCATGCCGCCAGCATGGGCAGAACCATCTTAGATCAACCTATGCTCACTACATAGGCATGCCCTTGGATGGTGTTTCTCTGTGCTATTTTCTCTTCTGTCCAAGGGCAGAGGAAGTTATTACAAATTCATATATTCTCTAAAGTTGCTATTATTCCAAAGTCCTTATCATGGGCAACAGTGGGGCTACCTGTTCCTCATCCACTCCAGCCCATTTGCCTGTGAAGCAAAAGCAGGAGATGCAGAAACTCTGAAAAGCCCTTCCCACGCTGCAGCTTATAGTATGAGACACTATCAGAGGGGAATAAAAGGCCAATTTCCCTCAAATGCACCTGACCCCCTTGCCAGGACAGGACTCAGCAAAAATTAAGCAGACTACTCATCTTTTACCTCCAGCCCACAATGCGGTTGTGATAACGTTACCTTTAGTTCCTTGCAGAACTGTGACTCCTGGGATGTTGCCTTGATTGTCTTGGGTTTAATAAGCCTCCTGCACTGAATAACGTTTTCCAATTCTTTTTTTAAAACTAACAAAAGAGAAAGAAAACAAGATATTTCACTAGCACACAGTAGTGTCCAAAGGACTTCAAATGTTTAATTTAGGACACATGGAAAATTTAGGAGAATATGGGTCTATAATATGTTCATCTAGGAATATTAGTTTTCTGTTTTGAAATAGAAATCCTAAAAGAGGCATGGGTCTTATGGGAAAATGTAGTATGTGATCACTTCACAAGCAACTGCAGAATAATGAAGAGGTCAATAGTATGGTTATGCAGCAGCCATAAATTTGACCTTTCCTAGCTTTGAGCATTGGGATTAGCAAGGAAAATAACATTCTTCAAACCTACGTTTTTGTGTAGAAAGTTCAGGGTTCCTTTTAAGATAAAAGAGCAAAAATTCTACTCTCTGTAACAGTAAAAAATCTTGTCAGTTGGCACTAAGCACTACCTCAGACTGCTACCGTGGGACCTCTCCTGGTGTGAAATGGGGGCAGAAGAGAATACAGTCGTGACTCCAGGGGCTCAGTCCTGAACTGACCCAGGCTGCCGTCCAGCATCTTCCTCCCTTTGTGCTCGTGCAATACTTGCAGCAGACGAGCCCCAGGATGTGCCTTGAATTACATGCTGAGAAAGGCTGGTTCAGTGGCATTTGGTCCATCTCTTGCCCTCTCTGCTCTGGAGAATGGGATTCAGAAGATAAGAGTGATCTGGGGCTGGGCCCATCAGGAAGCCATGGAGGGAAGCGGCCACTCAATCTCCTCTAGTTCCCATAATTCAACTCCTTCAATAGCTCTCAACAGTTTCTGGTACCGTGACTATTTTACCACTTTACCCATGACTTTCCAAAACTGTCTTTAAAATATTTAGTGATTCTGAATTGCTACCAACATATTCCCTGAAGAACACAAGTGACTGAAGGTAAATAGTGCTGCTTTTAGGTACGAATGTCTCCTAAAAGGTTGATTGGAATTTCTTGGAACAGAATAAAAACATACTTTGGTAGCCTCAAGCTGCACGCCTGGCTGAGTTCCAAAGCCCAGCAGAATAGGAGTGAGCATTTTTCAAAGCAAAAACTGAGAGCAACTATCATTCGTGTATGTTATAAAAGGCTGAAATAGGATATATTGGTCTGTTGTTACAGTTAACATCCATGCTGCATTTTCAAAAGACACATTTTTTATAAACTTTTAACACAATACAAGTCATTTTCATCCACTCATACAGCTTCTCTATCAGCTCTCAAAGGGTTCAATCTAAAATCCATTGACTTCACTGGTCACCTTGTGATACTGTTCAATAGTAACTTGTAAATGTCTCACAAGGACTATCTTACATTTGAGCAACCTTATTCTCTTCTCTCCTGTCAACCTTACTCCTTTCTAGAGAAGGACACCAGTTTGTTTCAAAGAAATTCTTGAACTTCAGGACTTTGCTGTAGGAAGTTTTCTCCTGCTGCATTGCCTGCTCTCGGAGACTCCGCTACAGCCGTAACTTTGACGGACACTTGTTTCACTTAACATTTGTAGTCTATGATAAACTCTATTTACCACGGGCAGTATATTTTTTATATTTCTAAACCACCTGGACACACTTTAATATTTCTTTTTTTAAAAATTCTTCACAGTAACATGGCAGGTTAAGTATCACCATAGCAACACTTTACCTCAATGTTTTGAACCTTTACTTCTCTTTACAAACTACAGAAGTGCAATGAAAACCTGTTCCAAATGACTGCACAACGTATGAAAATCTTTCTCCGAATTTAGAAACCACATTTACATACCATCAACTTCAGCACTGAGGCCCTTCATGGAAGCTAGAAAGAAAGAGAGAGGGAAAATAATGCTAATAAATATCATTCATATTGTGAGGATGGGAGTTTCCACAAAAGTTGAAGGACTTCATTTTTTCATTTGTTGATTTTTTTCCCCCCTCCCTCCTCTTACCATCAGGAACAGCTTCAAATTCTGTCAACTCCTGAGAAAATTTAGCCAAATCGGGCTCGTGTAAGATGATCTGTTCTGCTAGGGCGTGAAGCAAGGTGAATGTCCTCTCCTTACCCCGCAACAGAGGCAACTGCAAATAGAGTATAGCAATAATTGACAGACTGAGCTATTACACTTTAAAGAAAAAAAAAGAAAAAGAAAAAAAGAAACAGCAGGGATGTTGATAGCTCCCAGGTAAATCTGACAAGAATAGACAACACAATGAAATTAAACTTCTCCTTTTCCATCTGCCATTTCACAGGCATTCTTGATTAAGATCAGCTTTACGCTTTCATATCCATTGACCTTCCTTGTTCTTTTGTGTCTTCTTATTCACAGGGGTCTTTTTTAACTTAAGGTATCCTAATAGATTGCAACTGATTTTGGACTTCCAAACACAGTAATTATTGCTTTCCACTTAAAAGCAGTGTGCTGCGTTCATGAAGACACTAAAGTTCCTTAATTGAATCTGGGAAGATGCTATGTGGCAGAAAATGATTTTGTAGGCATTTTTCATTACGATAGATGTGGTATTACAACCATTATATATATTAAAAAAAAAAAAAAGCAAGTTTTGTCTCAGAATTGTCACTAGAGTTATAAATCATTCACTCATATATTAAAGTCTCCAGATGGGAAAGATACCTTACTAAAACAAAATAAAAATCCTTCTCTCTTCTATTTACAGATCAGGCATAATCTTACAATAGTGTTAAAGGTACAAGGCAGCTTCAGAAATCTGTATGTATTTCTTACTTTTTAGGATAAGAGTATGATGTTCCGCCACTGTTGGGTGGAGGAGGGGGCAAAAAAACCCGTGCTCAGTAGCAGCATTTTCTGATGGCAAATTCTGATGAAGAGGGAAAAGCAGTTTCCTTAAAACTACTAGAAAACTCAGCCTAATGTCACGCAAGTGGTAGGTCAGTGAAGAGACAATTAAAGAACTAAGAGCTAGATGATGCTTCTTGTACAGCAGCTCTCTATCAGGAAAAAGTGAAGATCCCAACTGCCGCCATCGTCCCCTATTCAATCATCCAGCAGAGCAACGATGGGGGAGTTCACGCCATTGCGGGCAAATTTCACTCCCTTTGAAATTATTCATTTCTTTACATTCTACTTTTGAAACTTTACCTTAAAATGGCATTGTACCACTTGCTGCAAAAGACCTTTGCATTGGAATAGACTGAAGCGCTAAGGAATTACTCCAGTGCCATAAAAGTGCCACCACCACAGAAGAAATGCCGTGGTCACAGCCTCTGACCGCAGTGAGATGAAGAGGATCCATACAACAGTGCTCTGCACAAAACCGCAAAATACAATTTCTCTAAACTTGCACCTAAGCAGGGGCCTGCAGCTCAGGCACCTCCTCTAGCCAGGGGTTCTTAATAGCAGGGCAGTTGGCATTTTGATGTTCTACCTCATTAGAAACACAGCGTGTTCGACGCCACAATGCCCCCACCTAGCCAGCGCTGCTGTCTAAAATGGGGAAATGCATCTTGTTATAACACACATTAAAGAACACATTGTTAAACAGGATTTTGTTTCTAGTGTAACCGAGAGCAGATGTTAAAATGTTAGCTTCTCATTAAAAATGATTGCCTTTCCCCACATTCAGGGCACAACTGATTTAATATTAATGACTAACATACCTTATAATATGACTATTTTAATGACAAGAAAAATATTTACTCACTTTGGTCAAAGATGACAATCGAAATCCTTTAGCCTTCTCTTTTCCTGCCTTTTCATTTAAATGGTTCCCAATGGCTAAGATGTACTCCAAGACAGCAACAAATTTCTGGCTGGACTGCAGCTGCTTACTCGCTTGGATTTTCTGGTTTATTAGCTGAAACACACAAATCTTCCTTCAGTTCAAACTGAAAATGTGAATAAATCAATGGTGCCAATCAAACCTTCCCTTTGCCAAAAGCCTCGTTGTCCCCACCTGAAGCACATCACGCTTTAGCTGATGGATACCTTCCTCCTGTGCAGCTTCCCTGGGGAACAGGCCAGGGGTTTTCAGGAAGGACCAGTTAAAAGTCAACCACCAAGATAAAGCTGGTGTTGGCACAGTTACCCTGTCTCGGATGGAGGTCACACCCTTTCCAGCTGCCAAACCAGCCCTGCCAAAATATCTTCAACCTCATCTCTTAAAAATGCTTCTGAAGAAAAAGTATTTTGCTGTTTGAATGCACCAGATTGCACCAAATGTCAGGCATCAGGGGAAGCAGATAGCCTGAAGCACGGTATAAGCTTCTCCATCCTTCACCTCCCTCCCTTCTGTTTATACCAGCTGAAGACTGTTATCTTATCAAAATTCTTAGCACAGTTTCCCCACAAGGAAGAATAATAATTTTCTGTAATCAAACTCAGTATCAATTTCTGTTTTCCCGGGGAAGCCACCTCCCTTCCAGGGCTATAGACACAAGAGGTAGTTTTGTTTTAAATTAGGAAATTTGTATTTTTTTAGCACCACACCTCTCTTCATCAGTCACCAACACACAGATTTAAAAACAGGGAAAGGATGAAACATGCCGGAGAGCTGAAAGCCATTGTTAAAACTTTTATAGCAGATCACAGGGCCAGAGGATGCTGAAAGCCAATATTCAGGTTGTCCCACAGAATTTTAGGTGTATAATCTGTGGTTTACAAACATGTGTTAGGGTGCATAAGTAAGAAAACACTTATACAACTAATCAGCTCTTCAGTGAACTTTAAATATCCTTCAAAGCAAACAGGATATATAACAGCTTCCAAATATTCAACTATTTGGTTTCAGTGGAGGACAGCAAAGGTGTAGCACTGTACCAGGCAGGGTCAGAAACCTGTGCATCTCCCCAGTGTTTTCCATCTGTTCCTCTTCTGAGTTTTGTTCACTGTTACTATGGTTTTAATCACAGCCAGACAAAGGATAACAACTCAGAATTGCAGAACTTTCAAATTTTGTTTTTGTTCCCATGCTGAAGAAGAGCAAAACCTTTGAAACATTTTCCCAGAGACAGATTGTGTCGAAATACTTTGTTTTGAATCAAAGCATATACAAACTCTGGCAGGTAAGGCAGCCGTTTGGAACAGGAAGATCCAGTCCATGAGACTGGAACACTGTTCATTTGCATCCCCCCACCCCACCACCCCTAGGTCATCCTGAAAAAAAAGAAGTGAAGGACTTGAACTCTGGTTTGCAACATTTCAATTCGATGCTGTAATCCTTAGGGTGAACAGCCTCCTTCAGCCTTCTGAAAATAGTAAATGTCTACGAAATGCTGGTCGAATAAGCTTGCTCTAAGTATCTCTGACTTCAGATTGATCTTTTCAGCTTGTGGCGCAAGAACATCCCCCCAAAAGGAATTGAATTTCAATGGTGAAATTCGCTTCTGTCTTATCGCTGGCCAAAGAAAGAGGAAACATGACCTATTGAGATTTTTTATTTTTTTTTTAACCCTTTTGCTTGCTACTTTTGAACAGTGCCATGAAAAGGTCTTTTATACACTATGCTGCCTGGATTATTACACTATGAATTGCTCACACTATGGACTGTGAGATGTTTTGCTATAGGAAAAAAAAAAGGAAAAAAAAAAAACAAAACAAAACCTCTCCAACTACACAGCTTTGAAGTCTCCATTGAGGCCACTTGGCCCTCTACTCTCTAAGGGCTAGATTTTGATTACAAACACACTATGAAGGACTCATGTTACTCACAGGCTCCAAATCTCTCATGCTCACGGGGAGCTCACGTACAGTAAGCAGGAGATCCAGCCTCTGGCTCAAGTGGGGGATTTTACACATCTGCATAGAATTGAACAGAAAAGGAATTAAACCCCATGTTTATACCAAAACAAGCACATATCTTTCATAATTTATTGAGTAATTCAGCTGCACCATATTTTTCCTAATTTCTGTGCTCATTTATTAATTTTATCTTAGGCCTTAATCTGTAGACATACTACGGCACATAGCTGAACATGCATCATTTGCATATGCAAATTCAAGAAAATACTGCATGCTTGTAGGGCCAGACATTATTAAAATCAATGGCATGCATTTCTTGTGAACAAGAACGGTTAAATGCATCTGATGTTATGCTTATAGATTTGGGAAATGTAGCTCAGAATAAATCATCTCCTGCTTTGGAGGAAAGGGAGGGCACGGGACTTGGAGACGCAAAGGGATCCATACAGTTCTCTTTGTTATATCTGTCTGTCTCAACTCTTTATCTTACACTGATTCTGGCTGAGACTGTAAATTTAAGTTCTAAACAACAGCTTCTTGTAGTGATTTTATCTAGGAGACAGTGTGCTAGAAATAGCACGTGGTGTATTTTAACGCTGTACCTTCTTACCTCCAACATAAACTGATCAACCACATGCAGCTCTGACGGAGACCCCCTGAACGACTGGTACCTTTCTGTGTCTTTTGGTGTGGGCATGTACCTGTAAAACAGCAAATGACAATTAGATGTCGTCTTCCTCTTCATTCAATATTGTTGTAATATAAAACAATCATTCCATTCCATGCATTGGAATTTCTGACTGTTTAGTGTGGCTTATGTACTGCATCTTTATTTTTTAATCATTGGAGCTTTATAGACATTTGAGCCAAGTGTGTGATGGAAAGCAAAAGTGATCTGCAGATAGATCTGAGTGTCTGGAAATGCTTGAAAATAATGGTCAGTAGTGTTCACCTGCAGATCTACAGACAATTTACAATGGCATGGGCTGTTTTGGATAAGGTAAAACCATGTGACAGAGAAGTTAAGGCCATAATTTCCAAAGAGGTTCATTAATTCTGTGGTTGATACACGCACGCCTTGTTTTCATTGACGGGATGAACATATTGGACAACTTTTCCAAAGCACCTAGAACCAATGCACACTTTTTGAGCAGTTGTGGCCATGCTGGCTTCACTTCTCTCCAGCAATAACTTCTTTGAAAAACGAGCACAGAAGCAGAGCAGACTCATACTATGGTGTGATTAACCAGTGCACCCCATGATCTGACCGACTCCTACCTCTAAAACTTTTTTAATTGCCCATGAAACAAGAGGTAACCTTCTGCATAAGGTAACAGAATATTCTCCCACAGTACTCCAGCGCTGCAGATTTTTAGCAAACGGATGTCTTTAAACATGCCTCCACTTGGAAAAATAAGCACACCAGCACAGTTCCCTCCCCTCCTTCGGAGATCTCCCTGCCTGTCGGACTGATGCACTGTGGGAATTCATAGCATATCTTAAGAAAAATGAAATCGATGTTATAGCTAACATATGAGAAGGAGCGTTATGAATCTTAAATAAGTATTCAGATCTACTATCTTCTCTTCTTTCTCTGCAAACAACCTACTAAATTTGTAGCAAGTGTGACTAAACATTCATGGGGGTAGATACACATTTTCATTAAAAGTAAGGAAATTTATTCAAAGACAGAAAAACTAAAGCAAAGATTTTAGCATGTTAAATACAGGACAAACAATAATATTTTTTTTCCACTGCTGTCAATAATTTAATATGATATTTCAATTGAATAATTGCTGGGGTTTGAATTATGAAATCTATATTAAAGCAGATTACAAAATATTACATTCAGAACCCTTCATCATCAAGAAAAAAATAAAAGAATTCTCATGTAAAAATATCAGTTATCTGTTGGCAAATGAAAGGGGGGTTATTTATTATTACAAATAATTTGACTTTTTAAGCAAATTCAGAGAACTTTTTTTTAAAGCTGACAGCAAATATCTTCATTTAATCAGAAGTCTGATATGCCATCAAATTGTTTTAATGTATTATGTATGTGAAATGAAACTAGCAGATTATCTAGAAGGTTTAAAGCTTAAAGCATTAAACAATGGAAGCTGTGGAAAAGGAAGCAGAAAAATATGTGAATGCATTCCATAAATATCTTTTTACATGAATGCAACTCTAATGGAATTTGTGCAATGAAAATCTCCCACTGTTCTGAAAAATTAAGTTTATAGAGACAAAGAGTGCTTTTCTATTGATTTTAAGACGTCAGGATAAAGAATCATTCAGAGAACTATGGAAAGGTTTCCGTACCAAGATAAGTCCTGAAGTTTCTAATAATATTGCACCACTTCCACTAACTTTGACTGGATACATGAGCAGAACATTTTATTCCCTGGTCAGTCTTGAAAATGTAATCTTGGTTTTGCCTTTAACTGTTTTTTATTCTACAATAGTGGAATTTAGACTTCCTGCTCAGGCTTAGACATTATGACAGGTATAATTTGCACAGAGAGGAATTTTCCAGCTCCTGACTATCCTGTTTAAATTCCTGTCATAACCACAGGTTCTCAATTAACTGGATGCCACAGTTTTCAACGGCAGAATTTTCCACCGTAGCACGTAAATCAAGTGGAAAGGTCTTCAAAAGTGCTAAGTGTCCTGCTACTTGTGTCATGTGAAGTCCACTGCAGTACAAGAGAAACTTCTGAGTGCTGATGTTTCAAGATAAGCGTCTGCTCCTTCGATGAGGTGTCGGTGCCTGAACAGGAGCTGTGAGACACTGAACTGCCTTGGAAATGCAACCCTCAGTTCTGAAATGCATCTCATCTATTTCAGTAACACTTTTTAAACTGTCAGGGTGGAAAAAAATTAGCTTCCTTTCACTACAATATTTGTACATGTATTCCTAGATTTTGGCAATAAATAAGAATCCCAGGAACAGAACCCTTGATCCCGTATAACGGATAGCAATACAGCATCCGATATCTCTTACACATTTGATTGCTAGAAAAATTTCCTCAGCATTATTGCTATCAAAGGAAGACTCTGAAATCTTTAAGGAAAAAATAATCTTTCAAGCTTCATTGCCACCATTATTATTATTATCATCTGGTGGCAAAGAGCCCAGATGCTATACATCAGTGATCACAGTGGTGTTACACCAACTTCAACAGCGCGGAGATGCTGGGCTGGATCTGCAGTGCTGTATCAGGGCTTGAACAACAGAGCATGTTCAGTGTTTTCCTGCAAGGCAAGGTGTGAGAAGAGGCTGCCCTCGGAAACGGGGCTGGCCAGACCCCGAGCGCTCTGCGGTGCTGCAGGACTGGAACCATTTTCTTAACAGCTCCAACCATTGGTTTCTCCAGAGACAGGCACGTGTGTGACTGGAGAGCACTCTTGACGTCCAGGACATTTCACTGTTGTTGTGTCCTGATCAATTCCATCACTGCAATTAGAAACTGCAGTACTGCAGTAAGATCTTTCTTTTTTGAATGAAGCCTTCAAAGTCAGCTTTTGAAAGGCAATGGAGCTCCATTACCTTCAGTGGGGTTCTACACCGTTCACTAGCTCATAATCTGCTGTGCACCAGTGTGAGGTATAACTGGTAAAGCACTGGGACAGCACGGAAACCTCCTCCAGAACACTGGTACACATAAAGAATTTAAACATTCAGCGTCTTGTCCATGTCCCTTCACAATTAGGGCAAGCTCTGTACAAGCCATCTCACAGAATGACATTAATTCCGTATGTTACATGTCTGTTCTTCCTGTTCACATCACTTTCTAAGTACAGACATGATTCTGCAGATTTTAAAATTGCTGTTGATGTACTGATTAGGATCAGGATTTTAAGGCCAAAATTAAACTCATTCCACAAGATGTAGAAACATCAGTGATTTACTTCCCCACTTTCTTTGACAGCATCATCTTTTTCCAAGCTTGCTTTAGAAAAATACTCTCTTTTTTTCTCATTTTGAAGCAAGAAAAACTTTCACATCAAGTTTTCATATGAGTGTGTTTAAAAAAATGGCCCAAGTACCACATAGGGACTGTAATGTACAATGGATACTACTGTAGGATCCCACTTCTTTCCTTTCTTTCCATGTCTTAAACTATTCAAAGAGATACAATCCAGTTCCTACAAACTTCACATGCCAATAGTTTGCTTACACTCCTGAAATCTATTTTTCTCATACAGTAATTCATTTTTTTTAAAGATACAGAAATTTGCATCCTGCTTTAAAGCCACAAATCTTTGCCACTCAGAAATACTGATATTCTTAATATCCATCATCCCATGAAGCTCCTTTAACAGTTGTCTGCCTCCTTCCTCTCCAAACCAATTTTAAATCTTTCATTTCTGACCCCACAATAGACAGTAAGGCTGTAGTAAGAGATGTAAAGTTTTCTCATCAAGTTACACCTGCTCACTGCCACAACTTGTTCTTTTACTAACTCTGCTCCTTGTAACTACTTCACAAAATCATGTCAGATTTGCTGTCATTTCTTGCAATCCCCTTTCCTACACAACATGGGGAAAAGTCATAATTTGGGGGCGTATTCTAAAATCTCAGTTGCAAGGACTGAGATTTCTGTGTGCAACCCTAATATTCTATTCACAGTCAGGATAGATCCAATGTCTCAGTGTCATCTTTCCTGAACTTCACATTATTTGCAAAAGATTATGCCTTCTCCAAAAGGTAGCATATATTGCAAACAAACAATTGAACTCCAAATATTACCTTCTTAGCGCTGTAATCTGCTCATCTGTAAGTCCACCACTCTCTTCATGTATAATGTATAATTTTTCTTTCAGCTCACTTGGTTTTATGTGGAAACTTTTAAGAAAAATGTCTGGAGGAAAATGATTCTTAGATTACTTGGAAGAAAATGCTCAAGGGAAGAAAAAAATCACCAAAACATTTAGAATTACTTTCCAGATTTAAAAAAAGGAAAAAAAAGAACACCAGAAAAACCCCAAAACTGCTAAGAGTAGCTGAGTAGCTGCTAATGCTAAGGCAAAAACTCAGTCTTCATATTTTCTTTAAATATGCATAGCAATAGTCAAGCAAAAATATATTTCTGCCAGAAAATAGTCAATGCTTACGACAGAACTATCAAGATACTGTTATCGGAATCTACTCAAGTACTTCCGCATATATATTTCTCTTGTGCTCAGCTCAACAGTCAAAACAATTTTTTTTCCAAATAACAATACAATGTATTGGCATATTATAGTATTTTTATGAAGATTTTTATTTTATTTTGTTTACTTGCTTTGTTTAATTTCCAGGGTTCAAAAACAGGTAGTTAGAGTCCATGCAAGAAAAGTTACTCCCAAAATGAAGGCAACCTGGGAAAGAGAAGGGCTCACTTCTTCCACCCTGCCTGATATTCTAAAATCTGATTAAGAGTTTTTGTAATGTTTAAGACTTCTGTGCTGACATGGGCCTAGATCATTATATGTATTATGATAGGGAAATGGAAATAAGACATCTCTTCCCCAAACAGGTGAAAAACCATTTGTAGGGCTCTTGGTCCCCAAAAGACTACTTTGTCTTGCCAGTTATTCTTTAATTACTGTCTGTCTCCATCATCGTTACCAAAAGGTGAAGGTAAAAGAGGAAACACAGGAAGTGAACAGAGGGCACCGGGAGAGAAAGAGAAAAGGTTTAAATGTTTCTCAGTGTTGGCATGAAACTTGTCCTAGAGTCTCTGCAACAACAGAACTCCTCTGAGCTGCACCAGGGGATTGGAAAGGAGAGTTCAGGAAGGATGTGTATGATTTACTCTTTTTTTCTCTCCAATTCTAAAAATGAACAGTTTTTCAGGTTATAGGATCTTGCTGTGGCCCGAATCAGTTATTAATGGTTCTCAGGAGACTGTTGGCCAATGGAGTATATGCCATTTATTCTTACTCTGACACAGTTTCCACCCTTTTAATTTTGTTATGAGATCTAGCTTTAGTGCAAAGCCTGGCAGAATCTTCCCTTTTTCCTTCTTATGCTTTTTATGCCTTGTATCCTTTGCTTCCCTGTGCCTTTTAAACCAAGTATCTCTTCAGGTGTGGTGATGTCTACGGACTGTAACAGAGTGGATAACTCATAGTAAAATGTTGATTTCCAAATATTCACAACCTGTCTAAAAAGTATTTAATATTTTCTTGAACATTTTTAGTAGCTGAAATTAGCCACTGAATAAATTCTAGTCATCAGACTTTGCCAAAGTATTTTTCTAGGCAGAATAAGGATTGTATATATGGGAAACTGGGTCTCATACAGAGAAACAGGCACCAATCGAGTCTCAGAAGCTGGTATTTTGACTCCTATATCAGTCTTTCACCCACTAGATCCCACAGTCTTGGATTAACATATACATTATAGTGTCTCCCAAAACTTTTTCATTGGAAATCTGAGGATGTTTTTCTTGTCTCTCTCTTTCTGATAGCTGTTCTCTGGATGCAGAAATTTATGTTGTCTACTAGAATCCACTAGATAACTTAGCTTTTATTTGCATTTTCTCATACATTGGGCTTGAATTTAGTGTGTAGATCTTCTCTCAGAACTCTCATTTTTCTCTTGTGTTCAGAAACCCACTCAAATTCTCAAGAAATTTTAACCTACTGGCATTTTTGGAGCTTCATATTTTTATTCGTTAACGTAAGAACTGTGGTTTGCAGCACTTGCAGGAAGATTAATCAGAATTCTCAGAATCAAATTAGCTTTTGATCTAAGTAATGTCCATTATAATAAGTGTATGCCAAAAATCTCACTGATGGGACTTTAAGGATAAGATTAAGAAATGGATGTAGAATGTCTCAATGAAAAAAGTTGTAAGAGGAATAGGATCAAAAGGAAGAAGGGTGCTATTTGCAAACCAAAAGAAAGACATTTCCTCAAAGAAACTGCAATAATTTAGTAGATAAAAGTGCTATTACAGAATTCTTTTTATCTACAACAGCACTTTCGTATCACTCACTTCCTTTTAACCCTTCAAATTGTTAGTCAATGGATGCAATAATTCCAACAAGTTATCTCCATTTACAGTTCCCAATTAAAACTTTACACAATCTTCAAAATATATTCTTTCTTATCAATATTCATAAAGATGAAATCATTAAAACTTCAAAATTAACTGCCCCAAATTCTTTACACATGTAACATTTCTTAAAACATCTCTAGGTTGTAGAACTTTTTTGGAAAGCCATGTCTGTAATAGAAATCAGAGTAGCCTTTGAAGAACAATTATACTTGCTCCTTTAATATCTACCACTTCTCATCAAAATAATTGAAAGACCTTTACATCATTTTATTAGTAAGACCAGAACTATGTATTGAACTGCTTCGTTAGCTGTGAAAGACTGTCCTAGGTCAGGCCTTCGGCAGAATCATACCTGAGATATGAGAGGGAAGGATCTTGTTCATGATCATTCAAGACGGCCGTTCACAGTCTAAGCTGTTGGCAAGAGAAAGGCCAAGAGAGTTCCTGTGACCTGGCTTGTAGCTGCCTCAAAGGCTTCTTACACCAACCCATCTACACCTACATGAATATTCTTGAACTCCATGTAGGAGAGAGACTGAGCACATTACTCAAAGTTCTACCAAGCTGTTTCTGTTGAGTTGTTTCATCTGGACAAAATTTTAAAATCCTTTGAAGTCAGCATCTTAACATTGATTTCACAGGTGTCATACGTGATTTTACGTATCTGCCCTAAGACAACATCATCACAGCTCAATGGCACATCCACGTTTTGTACAAGAAGAGAAGCTTGGTGTTTCTACTCTGTATCATTAAGAACCACATTTAGAGCAACTGAGCCACAAGGTCTGTTTTTATAAATGAGTAAAGGGGCACTGAATTAAAAGATGATTTAGGCACAAGCTTGTCTCATTGCCTATCGAATGGCAGAAAGTACAAATAGAAAATGCATGCAGTGCTCACCCCAGGCTTCCAGATAGGGGTACACAGTTCTTATTACTACACTTACTGAAGTTATGTGCAACTTTTCGATCTAACATGATGTGCTGATTCACTGAAGGTTCGTTGCTTGAAAATGCTGCTGTGTCCTGAATCTGGAACTGATCGCAGAGTCTGGATACATCTATTTTTATCTTGCATGGGTCACATGATCCCCAGACAGATTTTTGAATCTAAAAATATAGGAGTGACAGGGTAAACAAAAAGGCAAAAGAACAGAGGCACTGTGTTCCATCCAAGCACAGAGAAAGGCATCCAGGTTGTTTTGTGGCACAGCTGTACTTTTGTGATAACTGTACATGTAATACAGGCTACAGTATTATTTTTTTCCTGTAACAGCTATCACCAGTTTCATCCTCACCTTATCACAAGGAACAACATCCCAGTGAAAGGCTTTGGTTCTCTTTGTCGATGGAGAGAAGCTGCAGGGCTGTGGTAATGCAGGTGGGGCTGGCGGTACCTCTGCCTTACTTATGGGAAGCGGAAGAGACGGCGACGCTGGGGCTGCTTCCTCCTCTGCAGGCTGGGGGCTTGAAGACTTGTTCAGACTGATTGTTGCGGAACTCACACCAAAGTGGAGGGTCTCCTCTTTCTGTTCATTCAGAGGTACAGTAATATCCTCATAATCTGCTTCGGAGGAGGTGCATCCTTGAGATCCCTCCTGTGAGGCACCCTTGCACAGCTGACAGTACCTTTCTAAGAGAGACACCCATTCATTCTGGAGCTTGCTAACATCCTCTGCCCTGTTCTTTTGGACAGTAAAGGGTATTCGAAACCTGAAATTTAAGAATGTCATATATAAACACAAGGAAGTGTAAATAACATGCTGACTAATACAGCCACAGGTATTTCTTATTTAAGCAGAATGATGTTCAGCAGCTTTGCTTGTCAAAGGAGCCCACTGCTGCTGACTCTGACCTTTTCAGACAGAGTTAATTGCTTACGTGTCTAAGGTTAGAGAGCTGAAGTTGTGCCATATATTGACTTTGTGGTGCAGTTACCTCGTAATTCCTCTTCTCCACCTTGGGGGAAGGTGAACAGTGTGCTACGTCTTACTATGCTTGTTGCACAAGCTAGTCAGAACCTGTTCACACATCTGTCCTATCAACCTGAATGATATACCTCTTCACTGGCTCCTGGCATGACAGCTAGACAAGTCTTTGTGGGCAGTATTTCAATGTATCTTCACAATTCCACAACGTGGTACTTTTGATTCGTCCTTAAAATTCTCATCAATTCACTGCAGAGCAGTGGGAGGGGTAATCTATATAATTGTGATGGCCTCATTTCTCCACTGTTGTATTTTGTTCTGGGACACTGTGATTCTTTGTTGCTTGACCTTGTTTTCAGTAGTTCTGCTTTAACAAACTATTAATTACCAACTATACTTACAAATAATTGTGTTCTTTGGTCTGAACTGAAAAGGTACTGCATCCATTCTCCTTGCTGACACTCACATTACCACCCGACAAATTAATTGTGTTTGTTGCAGGGTCCGCAGTCTTGTTCTTTCCTCCCAGACCTATGCAATATAAAGTCAATTCTCCTTCACGTAGTTGTACCAAGTACCTGAAGGACAAGGAATGGAGGTACAGTTCATTCTTCACTGACTACTTATTTACACAAGCCTTACCTTTGGTAAACCATTTTCTAATGTCAATAAGTCTCCACATTTTTATAGCATCTTCCATGGAACAGTCAAAAAGTATCAATAGTAAAGCATAAAACCTTTGAGATGAGGGCTTCTTATTCTCATCTGACACGTAAGTAAACTGTGCCATAAAATACGAACTTCCAGCCTGCCATGCCTAATGAGAGCTAAAACTAAGAGGATCTTACTGTCAACTAAAAATCACAGAAGTCCTGTTAATTTGTTAGCTACACTCTGTCCCTCCCACTCTATTTATTCATCTCGTTTGTTTGGGATGGTGAGTCTTTTGGACTGCGAGCTTTTTTTAAAGGAGTTCACTATGTGACTGAGAAGCACATAGGCTTCAGAGTTTCTGTGTCTTCCAGGTTTTACTGCCACCAAGCTGTAAACAAGTCACCATAATATAAGTTAGTGCCCAACCTTATAGTCTAATAACTCTTCCTCTCTTGGAAATGCTTCTGCACATGCTCTTGCTCCATGAGGACTGATCCTGGTCCCCCCTCATTCCCAAGAGCCACTTGGCAGGAAGGGGTCAAAGTGTTCTGCTCTCAAGGGCTTCCATCGGAAATGGCTGTGCCAAAGTGTGGGTATTTCCTATTTAAACGATAAATTAACCCTGGCACAAATTGCCTGCCCGCACACAGCTTCTATTAGAGCAAAATGTTCTGCTCCAGTCTCTCTTCCAGGATTCTGCTCTGCTGCTTATAAGAAAGGCCCCACATTCAACAAGTGGGGCTTTACTGTATGGGGGTTTTATTCTTATTTAAGCATTTGCATTCTCATTTTTCTTGAGGGTTACTGCATTTCTTTATCATTCTGACAGTTCTTTCAGACCTTTCTTTTCCTCCACTCTCTCTTCAAGGTGTGTCTAGTTGATTAAGGTGTTCTATGAGGAATTTAAATAAGTTTAGCTGCTCCAGAAGAATTAAACATAAAATATAAATTGCATCTATTCCCACATAAACAGTCAAAGTGATAAGAATTGTTTAATGGAGCTGGCAGTTATATTGATCTCTCCTTTCTTTAAAGCAGGGACTTATAGTTTAATCGGATCTCCAGATGTTTCCACCATTATTTACTTTGCCAAAAAAAAAAGAGGATTAATATCAAGAATAAAGCAACAAGGGCTTTGCTTCACAAGATAAATAAAAATCAATTTCTGTTTGTTAACAAACTTGTTAAATGTTGCAAAGTAACAAATCCTGGGATGCACTTGAGGATAGTGTTTACAAGACATACAGTGGTAGCCTTTTAAAAACAATTAAAATCATTTTCTGTGAACTGTGAAGTCTTTTGAGATAATTGCCCTGTGCAGATAATTACAATGTTAATTTTTTTAATTAGTTTTTGGTAGACAGATTTTTTTTTTCTCTCTCTTTCTCTCCTTTGGTAGTATAAGCAATTTCCAGGTACTTTAGAAGCTGGCTCAGGGGAAGGGTGGGTTGTCCATAGGATGGGTAGCAAACTGTGTAAAATCATTGTGGCTGGTTCGCCAGTTCAGTAACAGAATAAGCAGAAGTCACGCTTATCTCTGATGGTTTAGGGGCTGAAGCAAATGGTGGTGACAGTCCGTTTGCTACTGAATAATGATTCCTGTCTCCGAAACCACACCCTGTTAGGCCACCATGGCTGGTCACCCCCACAGGAGGGAAATTCAGAATATTACGAGAACGAATTATGAATTTTGGGGCATCCATTTGGCAAGTGTGAGTCAGTGTTCTCTAGCAGGACTCTTACACTCCTTATCTGCTTTTTCTGCTTTTCCTTATGGCTGAAAATGGAGTAGAAAATAAAGAGGTAAACATAAAGAAGCCCCACCATTAAAATCACTCTTAGCACCATCACCATTGTGTATTTGTGTGAGTAACGCACACAGCAGTCTCTAGCACACATCAGAACTTCATTTTGTTGGGTACCACTATTGCACTAACAGTTAGTTTCAATGTTTTCATTTAATGCAGATTTGGCATCTAAGTTTTAACTTTAAAAAGCAGTTAAATAATCAACTTATTATCATCAAATTAAAATCTTAAAGTATTTATCAGAAATTTTAATAAAATCCACAACCCAGAGGTCTATGGAAGTGCTGTGCATACTTCACCCATTCAGTGGATGCAGAAGCGTTTTGCTGCAAATCCAGCAGTCCTTCGTGTATCACATCACAGTCCGCAGGTCTTCCAGAGCAGGACTCTGCTGCTCTCTTGTACGAATTGCTCTGTATAACTCTGCTCAGAAGGTACATTATCTATATAATAAGTGGCAGCAGAGAGAGTATATTTTCCACTTTAATTCCCTTGAATAAGACATTAATAGGTGAATTTTTCAAGTGTAAAAATGATAGACAACACTATAAGCAGCAGCCAAATAGGTGACATAAATTAACGTAAAATAAATAGGGTCTTTCTATAATGCTAAACTACTTAACTGCAATTTGGCTTTATGCCCACAGTTCTAAACCTGTCAGTGGAAGGAGAATATAATTTTATTCTGGAGGGGTTCCTGTAAAACATAATTTTACTTTTTTAATTCATATACAAAGCAATCTAGGACAAAGTTTCTGTTCAGCTCAGTTCAAGCCCAAGTAGCAATTGATTGCTTTAGCTTGAAATCTCAAACCCCGTAGGAAAATGAAGTCTTGCCTAAGGTTGAAAATAGTATGCATTAAGGTGGGTGTGAATTTAAGGCCCTCTTTTTGTTATACAGGGCCATATTTGAGCGTTCTTACTACAGAATACATGTGCCTTTTTGAGCCCTTCTGCTAAATGTAATCTATTTTGTAAGTTTAGCTAACCAACCATGAGGTGCTGTTCATACGGAATAAAGGTTTCTGCACACGGAGTGAACCGTTAAGCTTCATGAGGGATTAATGTCTCTGCAAAAAGCCCCTTAAAAATTAGTCATGCCAGAAGTTTGGATGCGAACTCTTCCATGCTTTTTGAGAGTTTGCACCTCAACCTAAATCGTGTGGCTGGCTTCAGCCGCTCAGCAGTGGGATGACACTGACTCCATGACCCGATCACCCCTGAACACGGGGGATATCTGCATTCGGGTGAAAAGCTACTGCTAATGTCACAACTCTAGTTTCTCAAGTTTCATTGTAGAGCCTAATTACACTAACTACTTGGAATACATAATTGGATCTAGAACTCAAAAGGAGCTGAGACCTCAAAATGAGGCTCACACAAAATCTTGCAACACTGAATTAAATTAATATCTAGTTGTACCTAGGCTGTCTTCCTCTGATAATTTTATAATTTCCGTGCATTTTGATGGTAAAAGATGAACTACTAGGTCTTTTTCTTTTCACAGCATCAGGATGGCCTCATTCATTCATCTTAAAAGCATGCATTTTAATAAATATCTTATATATAGAAAAAAAACTGCTTAGAAAATTTCAATTAAGGTCAGCTGTACAAATCGTCAGTTTTGTTTGTTTTAATACAATCTCAGACCAGTTACTTTCAAGGTGTAGCTGAAGAAATGCATCCACTTTCATATCACGTCTTGAGCGGGCTTTACATTTTCAGTCCTAGTGAACTGGGGCAAATTCCTAAGGCCAAACTTCATCCTGAACACACGTTCCCTTTGTTCTATGTACGAAATACACAGAATAAAGACATACCTACTTCTTCGCTTGCACAATGCACAGCATAACAATTCCCATTTATGACTGGGACCTGCTGGGTACTGCCATAACATTAGCTGTTATTTATAGCAATCTGTCTATGACATTGTAAAAACTTGCCTTCCTTTTATCATCAAGAGACACTGCTTCCAGCTCATAATCTTGTCGCCCATGAAACACAATGCTGAAGCGCCTCCTTTCACTATCTTCACAGCCTTTGACTTGTGAGAAAGGGAACTGTTTCTTAATAATTCCTTTTTCAATGTTAAAAATGGTCTTCGTGTTGAAATCAATCTGGAATAGAAGTTCTTCATTACTTGACTCCATTGCTTCTCTTCGTTGAAAGGGAAAGACAGCATCCCCAATATTACCATGCAAGGGCATTTAGATAAAGGAGCAGCTTAGAATATGTATCTATCTTGCTGATGGATAGAATAAAAAATGACATTCCATCATCAAGATACTGTACGATACTTGTCTTATTTACAAAACAAACAGATATTCATTCTAACTGTGTTTCCCTATCTCTTTTGATGAATATGCATCAATTTATCACTCTGAAATATTATTTCTTTTTAAATTCTCCTTGTCTTACACAACCCAGTGCAAAAACTTCCCATTCGGCAGTAGTGGTAGCACAAAGTAATGGCACAACCATCTCAGCAGAGATTCAATTACTAACTGGTTCAACCTATGCCCCAGTACTAAAGTGAAGTGAAGGTCGTTGTTTTTATAACAGTCGCTTCTGTGCCACAAAAAGACGATACTATTGAGACATTACTTTCTGATGTCAATATTACTATGTTTTGGTTTAGATCTTATCTAGCACAGATTTTTTGTCTGTATGTATAGATACACATATATGTGTACATATAGGTGAAGGGAGTGATGATAATAGCCAATGAAGTTAATTTCTTGCTGTTTCACAGCTAAAACAATTAAAAAATGTTTGCTTCAAAATAAGCTTATTCTTCTTCCACTGCACAGTCTACATTTGCAGTGTTAAAAACTGGTACAGACAGATTCCAGTATGTCTTCTATGTGTCAGTCCCCGCTGAGCAGAAGGAGCTTTGTTGACATAATAAGATGTGAATATTATCTGACTGCCCAGCTTCATTGAGCGCGGCCCACAGATAGGACAAACTCAGAAGAGTCTCAGATCTCGCCTGAGTTAGATATTTACCTTTGGTCATAAATGATTCTTGGCATCTTTCATTCCTGCAGTGCGGACCACGCTAACCAAATGCCAACACCGTGGCCTTTCCCTCTGTTCTGTTTATAGGAGAAAATCTCCAAATCAGAACCATTCTCATCATTATCTCTGACTTCAAAGGCTGCTGGTACCTGCAGAACTGGAATTAAACTACTCCAGATTCCCAAACTGATAACTTCCACATCTAATATAGCTTCCTCCACTTTTCCATCAGCTTTATGTCTAAACAAATAATCATTTAATTCCAAAAACTGGTGGATATTGAGGGAAATAAGGAGATTATACTTTCTACAATTGAGATATAGTAAACAAAAAAAATCCCACACCCTCTAGCATGTATGACTTGGACTTGCTCATTATCAAATTTTGTCCAAATTGCAGAAAAAAAATCTGTGAAATCCAGGTTCCTGGAAACACGATGGAACTTCTGACACTGACTTCAGGGAATCAGGAAATCACCATCAGGTGTTATTGACAGAAGTTTGCTTTAGTATCATTCAAGTATTGTCCCATTATGACACAGCAATTCAATAAAGCCTTAAGGGTTCATAATGTCAAAAAAAAATTCACAGGACAGTGTAACCAGAGATGAAACGCACAGCCTGCCAAAGGAACCTTCCCAGTATCCCCAGGAACATTTCTTCCCAAGGTTTTAGCGAGTGCAGTTGAAGTGATGTCCTATCAAAAGGGACAGATATTTAAGTACATCCACATCACTTGTATGCATTTACTGTTGATAAGTAATAAGAACAACTCCCGTGCAGAGCCTATTACAATCAATCATCTTTGTGATGAATCATGTTTTTCAGAGGTAAAATAACGTCTTAGACCATCAAGTCCATTCTACAGCCCTGCCAGAGCCTCAGTAGAGGACCTTGGGGTGCTGGTGGACAGCCAGCTGAATATGAGCCAGCAGTGTGCCCAGGTGGCCAAGAAGGCCAACGGCATCCTAACCTGTATCAGGAATAGTGTGGTGAGCAGGACTGGAGAAGTGACCACCCCCCTGTACTCAGCACTGGTGAGGCCCCACCTCAAGTACTGTGTTCAGTTTTGGGCCCCTCACTACAAGAAGGACATTGAGGTGTCGAAGCATGTCCAGAGAAGGGCTACAAAGCTAATGAGGAGTCTGGAGGACAAGTCTTATGAGGAACGACTGAGGGAACTGGTGGTGTTGAGCCTGGAGAAGAGGAGGCTGAGGGGGAACCTTATCACCCTCTACAACTACCTGAAAGGAGGTTGCAGAGAGGTGGGGACTGACCTCTTCTCCCTGGTGAAAAGTGATAGGACGAGAGGAAATGGATTCAAGTTATGTCAGGGGAGGTTTAGATTGGATATTAGGAAACATTTTTGCACTGAAAGGGTTATTAGACATTGGAACAGGCTGCCCAAGGAGGAGGTGGATTCGCCATCCCTGGAGGTGTTTAAAAAAGGGGTAGATGTGGTCCTTGGGGACATCATTTAGAGGTGGTTTTAGGGTACGTTGATAGTTGGACTTGATGATCTAAAAGGTCCCTTCCAACCTCAGCGATTCTATGATTTTCAGATATTACTCCCAAAATACTTTTGGTGTAAAAGGTAGAAAGTTGGTCAATATCTTGTACCTCTCTGATAGGTCGCTGCACCACAGGATGTATTACATTATCTCATAACATTTATTGAGCAACATAAGCATCCTGTATTTTTTTTATATTTCTTCAAAAGTGAGAATTTTTAAAGTTACCTGCAAAATTCGTTTCTGCCACCGATAGTGTTTGTATTTGTAGATAATGAAGTTAAATTGTGAACCAGTTAGCAAATCCTGTGGAACCTGAAAAATAGAACAGAAATCAGCAATATGTCCACACTGTTATTTTTTGTCTACTCAAATCCAATCGTGTTCTCGGGTGAAATCTCCCTCAGCGAACAGTGTTCAAACAGCACTGGAGGCTTTGCAGAAGTCCACGTGAACATACATGGAAGCATCCTCCTGACCTGATTTTCACAAGCACAAAATATCCACAACTCCT